TGCAGGGCCTTAGTGTTAAATGCTGTCCAGAGATACCCCAGTTCAGCAGCAACACAATCCTCAGCAAAAATCTGTTCCAAGGAAACTTGGAGTTGCTAGAGAGGGTTATATGCTTCCCCAAATGAAGAAAGTTAAACTCTCTTGTTCATCTGCATGTTTTTGCTGGTTTCTACTGATTCACTAAAGCAGCTAGCTGCCAGCACAGGCAGAAGGGCTGCTGGGGCCCTTCTGAGCAGTCACTGTCACTGCATCACTGCCTCCCCTTCCAGCACTGCTTCGAAGCCAAGAAGGCTGACAGGAATGGAGTGGGCCTGGCTGGCCTGGGGCAGCCAAGGGGCTGGGTCACCTTGGGAAGGCACATTCCAGCCTTATTTTTGTAACCTACCATGAAAGAAGGTTAGAAGTCCGTGCTATTATAAGAAAAACGCAATTTTTCAAAGCCAATTCTTCCTCACTTTCACATTTTACAGAAAGAAGAGTTTTTCTTGAGTATTCTTAAATTTAAACCAACTATACCTTTTTCAAGCACAAGATCAAAAACCCCTTTTTAGGCTTTCCTCTTCTAAGTCAGAAACCTTGAAACTCCGTAGTTTGTCTGAAATAGACACTTAGCATAACATTTAACCATTCATTATTTTCATACTGATTTTCACTGCTTGGTTGAGACAAACACATCTGACTAAAATTGTGTGCCAAATAACTTTTTTCATCATGATCTATCAATATAAGAATTATTTTTTTTAAAAAGCAAAGATCATGGTAATCTCCCCACACAGCCTTCAAAAATCATGTGAAATTTACAGTGCAAAAACTGCTTAAAATGCCTTTGTCTAGGGCAAGATATCAAGAAAGTAAACAAAATAGATGTGTACTGTTTCAAGAGACACTTAACCAAGCATTAGAAAGAAAATTGAAGGGAATTGGGTTCCGTGGAGTGGAGCTGAGCTGCAGATGATTCAACAGGCTCCGTGCCAGCAGTAACAAAAGCGCTCTCTGCTGGAGCAGCACAGCTGGAAAACCTGCAAACAGCCTTTACAGGGATACTTTAAAAAGAATAGGTTTTCAAGGGGGAAGCAGTTTTTCATTGCTATTGCCTAAGATCCTGGTGACACAGCTGCCAGACAGACAGGTTCTTTACAAGGACCCAAGAGCCATGCATAAATGTTCCTGGGAGAACAAGCCACTAATGTAAGCAAACCTTAGATCCTGTACAAACCCCACTATCCCTAACTATTAAGACATTAGGTTTTGAACTAGTCCTTGCCATTACCAACCTTGTAATTGCATTAAATAATGCAACTCTGAATCATTTCAGACAATGTATAAACTCTTAGTCTCACAGAATACAATTTTATCAATCCTAAGGAAGGGATTACCACAGAAAGTGATACATTTCTAGATCAGAAGCCTAACTGAGAAACTTTTTTGTGTGTGTAAAAAAAACCCTTCTTTAGGTCTTCATTAAATAGTAGTGATCCTTTCTGCAACAGAAGTGAAATTAGTCTCTCACATTACCTGGCCTGGTTCCTCAGAACATCCCTCACCAGTGTCAGAGAAGCTACTTTTTAAACAAAGCTGAACCATGTTCTGCTTCCATCAGAAAGACTCCCCAATAACTTTTGCTGTGAGCCTGTTGCTGGCAGGGCTGTTTGTTTGGTGGTTTGGTTTGAGGAGAGTGTGTTAATCCTCCCCTGAGAAGTGCTGTGGTTTAGGTTTAAGTCCCCATTACAATTTCCTGGGGTTACCCTGTATTAATCCTCTATTTGTTTCTGTATCAGTCCATCTGCAGCAAGAAACATAGGGTGGGAGCAGTTATGGGAAGGGATGGAAAATCAGGGTTTGCTCCTTAGAACAAGTTTACTTTGTAAGAAGACAAGAAAATACAGAGTTCTTGTGCTGCTGCTCACAGCTACAGCAAAGCAAATACATCTTTGTCTTCTGAAGCTACCAAGACTAAAGCATTCTAAAGATGAAGACCACTTCATCTTCTAAATGAAGAGCCTTGATAAAATTATTTGATAAGGACTAAAAATGCTTATCTCCATTCATTGAATTCATTACATTCTTACATCAATTGAGCTCCACAGGCACAGGCTTCCCTGAAAATTCCTGCTTTTTTCAGAAGTGCCCTGAAGAAAACAGTTCAAAGGACCCAGCAGCACAAACCCATTCCAATCTCTGCTGTGACTCTGCCTTCCAGCCCCAAACAATCTTTACACATTTCTAACAGTGACACAAATTCTGTGGACTCCTCTGGAGATGATGTTCCTTTTGGTCTGATATTCTCAGCATAAAGAACTAGCTCACTGCAATCTTTATCCCTCCATTATTCCTGCTATTTATTGGTTCCTGATTATGACTTTCAAACATTTAGAAAGCAGCCCACTGCTACCAACATATTTGTCCCAGAACAGAACTACTCCCTGAGATTCCCACGTCTCACAGGAAGCCTCCTGTGCAATGAAAACACAGTATTTCTTCTCAGCAGTTTTCTGTCAATATTTTGTTGTACAAAAATCTGCTTCTGCTTCAGTCTTGACATTCTGAGACAGCCACAGCCTGCCCAGCTAATCACTGCCTCTTGCTACATCATTTGTTGGACTTCACCTCAGTCAGTGCAGCCAGAAAATGCCTTTGGCAGTAATGGAATCAGATTTCTAAGCAAGGTGTCTCCATTTGCTCAAGGGTTTTCTAATCACATCTTATGCTAGTGTTTTTGAGAATTCTTCTCCTCTAACATTTGCCCTCTTGTGAATTACACAGGGGTTGGCATCTCCTCCTGAGCATGCCTGGACAGCCATTCCCACTCAGCTGCTGCAAGAGCAACTGGCCTGTCAGCAGTGCCCCTCTGTAGGGCACTGGTACCACCATGGCTGTGCCCAGGCCCGAGGTCCTGGCGTTTGTCCAGCATTGGGAAAACAACCTTTCAGATTCTTCCAGTCTAACAAGGATTTGTGGCTGTCCCTAAACAACATGGAAATGGAAATGCTGCCCAGCTGTAGCCATTGCCAGGGTCCCTTTCCCTGGTACAACCATTTATCCTACAAGAACACACAGCTCAGCTGTAATCGTCCTCCATGCTTTTAAGACAGTCCTGCACTGTTCTCACATCCAATCCACACCCAAAACAAAAGCACAAACATCTGTGACCAGTGGCCAAATGGGCTTGGATAAAATGAGCAAACTAACACATAAACAGGAACAAGAACCTTTCAAGCCTTCAAAGACTGAAAGCATTGCATCTTTTTGTCCTGATTCTCTAAGATTAGCAAGCTGGCAAAGGAGCTTCCTGTCACCAGACTGAGCCAGCACTGCACAGCTTCTCCTTCTCTCCAATGATAAAACCCCTCTTCCTGTGCTGGCTACAGGTCCACAATAAATCACTCCTCATGGAACACACTACATTTCTCTGGGCTTACTTTGATATTGGCTACACTAAGCTTATCCCAAACTATCTGTTAACAAATCAGCACTTCAAGAGCAGTGGTCTGCATCAAGAACAGGAACAGCACAGTAACAGAGGGATGCTTTTCAACAACCTCCCTGACAGCTCTTCTGGGAAGGAGCACTGCCTGCCATTACCCTCACCATTACCTTTACTTCTATACTGACATGGATTCTTCTTTTCCAGATCATCCTGCATCTCCAGGAAAGCCAAGTACTGCAGGTGCTATTGTGCCACCATCTGAAGCAATGCAATGTGCTCACTGCAAATTAATTACATTCCAGACACTATTTTTCTGATTTTGACAGATTTTTAAGAGAATGTCGTCAAATCAAACCTGTATGCAATTTTACTGCCTTTTCCCCCCAATACACATAATGTTTGTAACCAACTTTGATTCATCATAAAAACAGTAGAATGATGAGTTCATAGAGCACTAATTTTCAGAGGCAATCTTCCCCATTTGTCAGCAAGGGTGTATGTCCACTATCACAGTCTTCCCTTGAAAGACAATCCAGGATAAACTGTTCTATAGTCAGAGATTTTCTGAACATCTGAGCTATCAGTTTAAGCTGGTGTTTACTCACATTTCACAGTACCTGATGTGTCGACAAATTTTCATTATTAGCTGTCCAAACCTGAAGAAAATTCTGTTTCTTGAAGTCTTTTGAGTTGCTTCAGAAGCTGCAGCATTGTACCACTTCTCTCATCATCTCTTTCTAAAGATGCACTGAAGCATCTCTACCAAAAAACTTCCAGTTACAGAACCAATCTATCCAGATAATTCAGCTTCACACAGGCTCTCACAACCTTGTTTCAGATGTCTTACTTCAGAAAAAGGCAAAGAGTTTTTGTGCCATTTCTCCTGAACAGGGAAGCTGCCATGGTCTCTGCTTACCATGAAGATTCCCTCAACCTGCAAAAAATACAATTAATTGTTCTTCTCCCAAGCTAGACACGCTGGTTTTCTCCTTGGAAAGTGAGTATCAGATGGTGTTATCTTCAAGAAAACTGGATACTACATATATCACATGGTCTGGAAACAAAAGGAGCAATTGGCAGGATAACTTCCTGAGCTGCCCTGTGGAATAGCAAAAAATGAATGGACAAAAGCCTCGTTGGTCACAGCAGTCATGGGAATGCATCCTATCTCCAGAGCTGGTGACATTAACCTTCAGCTGTAACACTCTTCAAGGAGCACTGCACTAGCAAACACAACTACTGTAAAACCCAAAAAGGCAGCTGGAGTATTTTGAGAAACCCTACAGAGAGCTGGCACTCCACAAGCTTTGCCATGACAGTATCCCTCACCCTGCAGCTTGCTAGGACAGTGGCTGGTGTCTGGGTTGCAATAGGAAAGGTGGAGCCCTCATCTGTGTCAAATATCACAGATTTGGCCCCACAGCCTGTGAAAGTGGCAAGGAGCAGATGCAGTCTGCAGGTAGACAAGGATCCAGAGAAAGCATTATCACACTGCCAAGGCTACAATTGCATAACTCATAACTTCTTAACAACTTCATATATTCACTGAAAATGAATAGACCACAATTTCTATATATTGAGGTTAAAAAAAAATCTCTTAAAATCACTTAGAAATATTAACATCATATTAGCACATATGTATACAGAATCTGCTCTGCTAAAGTAAAGCTAGTCCAAGACAGAGGAAAAATAGAAACCAAAAATTTTTACATTAACAATTTAATTACATGAATCTCTATTAGCAGGCACTAATCTCACTGCAGATTTTCTAAGGCACAGAATCTTTATCTGAAAACATACAGCAACCTTTTCTCCAATCCAGTACAAGCTGATACCTGCTGGTACCTTGTCATATACAGACCCAAAACCCCATTCAGCAGCATACCACAAATGCAACATATACTGGCTATCACTTTGAGAGGAATACCAACTGTTTGTACTGAAATAAATACAATTTGGCAGCAAAGACTCTATCACAGCTTTGTCATAATTTTTGTCCACATAAATATCTTGATTCTATTTTCTGTTTCAGGAAGAACACATTACATGCTTCAATTCTCCTTCCATCAGTTAGTCTCATGTTTCACTGATGAACATACCATAACAATAAAATAACTGTAAAATATTAAACTCAGTTTTAGGTCCATTTTTTTTTCAGTTTGTAGTTGTGTATTTATTTGAACAAAAAAGCCCTGAGGAATCTGTTACGTCACATATCAGTGAATGGCATATAATACAGAATTCATTGCTCCTATTCACCAAGCATGCAATGCAATATTTATACCATAGATGTTTTCAAATGTAGTTTTATTCCAGTGACTATTTGCAGTCTATACATATATTTAAAAACAACATTATGTGAACATATCACAGACCAGTACCTAAAAAATCTTTAGTATATACTCCTTTATAAAAGGTTTTGACACAATGGAAAAGTCAGTCCAGAAGAACGCACGTTACCAGGTTTCTTGATAAACAAAATACTGTGAAGCCCTGTAACCTGCATGAGCACAAGTATCCATGGCAATGAATCTTTCATCTAAATCCTTGTTTCAAATAAACAGGTTTAAATTTTGGTCAGTAAACAAGTTTTACCACAACACTGTCCATTTAATTTTGTGCTTTCCAAAAGGCAAGCACACTACAGAAATAAAATTCCCTACCCGAGAGAGAAATGCAGTAAACACGTATTTGTTTCCCATCTCAGCAGAGGAATCCAAGTTCCTTGAAATTCTCATTATGTCTAAATCCAAAACACCCTGCTTATACCTTCTTCTTCTTCTTCTTTGCCTGTTCTCCAGACTCTACTTTACGTTTCTTAGCAGAAGCTGGTTCCTCGTCTTTTTCACCATCTTTAAATAAAAGAAAGAGTTCATCAAGATCAGCAAAGCCAGCTTTTTGTCTTAAACACCACCCTGTCTTAGAATAACTGACTTAACCACATCTGAGACGGCTGGAAAAAAGACACTGTAGCATTAACTGACAACATCCTCATTTTTTGAATGCAGACAATATGTGGGCAGAACAGGAATGGTTACTTCTTACCACTGCCACAAACCACTGCAGGTAACTGAAAAGAGGCTTTATGATACTGTACAGTACCTGTTCTAAAAAAAATTATTATTTGACTAGCTGACAGAAAAAGCTAGAAAATGACATTTTTGAAGCAGGAAATAATGTCAAAATCAATTAACGTTTTACCTTTTTCCTTTGGATGAAGGCTGACTAAGAGAAATGCATGGACAGGGAAAACATAGAACACACGGAGAAAAACAAAAAAACTGCTACTGGGAAAGAACACCCAGAACCAAAGAACGGGCAAGACAACAAAAAAATCCTTCTTTTGGAAAAGCTTTGTTCACAACTTTACCAATGAATGAAAGCATTGTGTTCTGAAAGCTCAGAATTTCTTTTTCTGGTTCTGTTCTCTTGGTTATTGCTATTCTCTTTCTCCAGCAATTAAAAACAAAAAAATCCACCCACCTATCAAACATTTCTTTACTACCTAAACTACCATTACAGCTTTTACCATCACAGAAAGTGAACAGGATAGTAAATATTTTCTTCAGTAATCTGCCCCACGGACCTTCTATTTGATTCCTCTTTTGGACCCCAATTTTGCAAACGTTATAGAAATAATCTGACCTACATCTACAACTAAGGCCAACACCTTAGTGTAAAACACCTGAAGCTTTTACACCACCTTCTGTTTTAGCAGCACCATGAGTGAACCTGTTGGTTTCACAGAATTACAGAGCCACAGACTCTAATGCTTCCCTGCTACTGACAGAGGGGGAGAGGAGCAGAGGGGCTGCTCGAGGGTCTGTGTTGGATCCAGCACAGCCAAAGCACCGGCCCTGCAGTGCCCCAGCCCTGCGGCCAGGCTCTCTGCCGTGGGCAGCGGTGGAGCAGGAGAGGCCGGCAGAGCTCCCTCGGGGCCCGGGGCCGCCTCCCGCCCGCCCGCTGGGCTCCGGCAGCGCCCGAGCCTCCTTCCGTGTGAGGCACGGCTGCCTCAGCCGGGGCTCACCCGACTCCAGGGGCTCCTGCTCCTCGTCCGGCAGGAACTTGGCTTTGCCGGCCTGGCGGGGCGCGTCGTCGCCATTGTCCTCGTAGATGTTGGACCACTTGATGGCCATGTCGAGGGTGGGGGCCGGCGGCGGCGGCTTCTCGGGCGGGCTGTAGGTCTCCGGCGGGGGCACGGCGTTGCTCCTCCACACCTTGAACTCCCTGGGGGGCTGCGGGAGAGAGCAGAGCGCCCGTCACGGCGGCCCGGGGGGCCCGTGGCGGCCGCGGCGCCGCCTGGGTTCACCCCGCGCCCCCCGCACCTCCTCGGGCGCCCGCAGCACGCGGCTCTCCCAGTCGATCTCCTTGTTGAGCGGATTGTAGAGGAAGGCGGGCGGCTGCGACACCCGACGGAAGAGCTCGTCGGGCGGCGGCAGCCGCGACCGCCCCGGGGTGCCCCCCGAGGCCGCGGCGGCTCCCGCCGGGCGCTCGTCGGGCTGCGGCTCTTCGGGCTCCGAGTCGGAGCTGGAGCTGCCGTAGGCCGCGAAATAGCCCAGCGGGTCCTCCCCCTCCGCCGCCATGGCGGGGCCGCGCCTCGCACCGCCCGCGGAAACCGCGCCCGCGCCGAGGGTTCCGGGCCGCGGCTGCCAGAGCCCGGCCCGGGGCCGCGCGGGGCCGGCGGAGCGGGAAACGGGGCCTGAGGGCTCCGCCGTACCGGGGGCTTCCCTTCGAGTGACCAGAGAGCGAAAATCTGACACGAAACCGAGCCAACCTTCATTTCTCCCTTTCCACACCTGCAGGCTAAGCGGGGGGAAAACACATTTTCCTTAATGTCCCATCAGCGGCTAACCCAGGGCAGGCACAGCGCTGGTCATCACTGCTCCAGGAGGTATCTGTACCAAAACAGATTTTTCAAACTTGTTGGACCAGGTTTGTACTAGACCTCCCTTGTGATTGACTCATGCACACAATACTGCATCAGCTAAAACACTGGTGCTGCTCTAAGGGGAGGGAGGGCAGGGCAGGTTCAGGTGGGGTGTCAGAAAAGCTTTTTCACCCAGAGCGTGTCTGGGACGGGCTCCCCAGGGCAGCGGTCACAGCACAGCCTGACGGAGCTCAGGAAGGGCTTGGACAACACTCAGGCACAGGATGTCACTCACCCTTGGGGATGTCCTGTGCAGGGCTGGGAACTGGACTCCGGGATCTTCATGAGTCCCTTCCAACTCAGCACATTTTATGATCCTATGTTCAGATTACTTCTACTACCAGAAGCAGGATAAGATCTGAGGAAGGGGTTTTGGTTGTACTATGCTCACTTCCTTTACTGTAAAGATGCTAAACCATATCCAGCTGATCTCTCATAATCAATTCCATGTCATTATTTTGAAGTAAGCCCTATACACAAAGTACAATGAAAACAGTCGCTGAAGTGAGACACCACAGTGCCTGCAGCATTTGCAAATCCTTTTTCAAGTCATGCTTCTCAGCACTCAAAGTTTTTGTTTCTCCCCTGCTATTAATAAAAATCTTAATTTAAGAATGAAATCGGTATGCGTGGTTGGAAGCAACTCTTCTCACATCCGTAGGAAGTTGAGCAATAGAGTCATTTGAAAAAAAGCAAGAATCAGGTTAGTAATAGTAGTCATGAACTGCAGAAACTACTTAAGCAGCAGAGCTGTTGATTTCTCATGCATGTTTTCCTTACAGACTGCTCTCAAGTGCAGTCCTACCAGCACAGGCCTTTCACATTAAGTCACTCTTTCCACCAGACTTCTCTAAAAAGACAAGGAGAACAAAAGCCTCCCGCACACACAAAACCAAAACCACACATCAAGGTAATGGCATGAATTGCTCTTGCAACCTGCACATCTTTAAAATGAGAGAGGCAGACAGAAAAACAGGCAATTGTACAAAAGAATTTATTCCAAAAGTTGTGATAAAAATACATTTTAAAAAGGCACATTATAGACATTTGGAAAGACAATACATTCACTCAAGGTCTCAGGTTTGCAGGCTCCACTGGGAGTGGTCCCTGCACACTGCACAGGGCAGGATGGGGAGCAGGAAGGCAGCCTCCACCCTGAGCTGGTGCATTTTCTCTGTTAAGGCCAACCCTGCTCACTCTCTTCTCTTTACAAGAACCCAGGAAGGGACTCAAGCCTAAGCAGAGCTCTTTAAGTGGTTACATTTAGACAAATCACTTTCTAGACATCCCAAGTACAGGCAACTACAATTCAAGTTAATGGAAGACAGGGAGTTCACCCTTATCCTTAATTTCATGTTAAAGAACAAAGTTTGGCTTGCATATTTAGGCACTTAATTTCCAGAGTGCCATCCCATCTAAGCAGTTCCACTGAAAAGCATTTTCACTGCCTGGACACTATATGATTGTAGATATAGACAAGAAAAACAAGGATTTTTATAAACACATCTTTCTCATGTGTAAGATGGTCATACACTCGGGATGGAGGGTAGTTGAACATCGCATTTTATTTTCATCTACTTCCAAAACAGAATAATTGTGAAGAACAATTTATGGAGACTATCATGAGGTCCTGCAGATGGTCTGTCTCCACACAAGGAGAACAGTTTAGTAATACTGCCCTGGTGTGCACTGCAATGGCATTCCATGGCTGTACACACTATGAGAGCCAGAATAACTGAGGACCTTCAATACAAACCTACCCTTTGATATACTGAAAACATCCCATCCCTTTAAAGTGTAGTACTGCAGAACATAGCTGTACACATGTCAAATTAAGAATGCACCAGGTCATTTTGAAATTATTATAGGCACCTGCACAAAAGGTAGGCTACAATTCCAGTATGAGAGGAATACAGTGTGTTACATGGTGGCAGGAAATGAGAACCTTCCCATGTTGAAAAAGAATGCATTTGACTCTAAACAATTTGAAATGTAAACCTGTCTGTCTGCTTTGAAGAGGAGGTATTTGAAGTGCCACATTTCCAAGAGTCCCTCAGGTACAGATACTTTTGTGTCACACAGCTTCTCCTCCACTTCCCTAGTGGGACAAAGCATACAAGCTTTGCTCCTTAATAGCATCCTACAGTAACGTGTTCTTACAGCCCTCACAATGCCAGTAGAGCAGTTTACATTCCTTTTCCAGTACTAAAGAGGATTTATATTTAAAGTGCATCTCAAATCTGGAATCTTTAACTAATACACAAGAAGAATGGGCTGAGGGCTGCAGAAGTGTATTTGTGATACTGATGCCTCTTGATGTACCAGCAGGACAAAGCTCACACAAGGAAGAAACTCCTTGCTAATAAGCATGATTTGGCCAGATTTGTGAGGATTTTTGCAAGTGGAGCAGCACACATATACATGGAGAGCAGAATTTATCCTAGTGAGAAACATTGAACTCGGTAAATGAGTTTAAGCTTTTTGGTAAGTAAGCCTAAGTTCTTCGTTCAGATTTTTTTTCCATATTCAGTACTTTTCCTAACCATCTTTCCCAGAAACATTAAGAAAAGTTGATTTGTTAGTTTCTGCAGAAAGAAAAAACCCATTTGTTCTGTAATTCCAGCTGAAGTATCTGCTGGTGTGAAATCTCATACACTAAATGTGAAATCTTATAGACATTGGTTTAAGAAACAAACATTTGTTGCTGTAACACCACAGTATTTTGTACAAAGCTCCCTAAAAACAAAACAAACAAAAAAAGTCAAGCAGCACCAGCATCACACAATTACAAAATTAAAACAGAAATTGCATAGATTATTTCCTCCAATTTTCCTAACAGTTTGAAAACATTTTTTAGCCTCTATGAGCCGTCCCACAAAGTTTCAGTACCATTCAGAGGAACAGAGGAAAGTCTCTGCGTTCACTGTGGCTGAACAGAACGTGACCTTAGAGGCAAAAAGCAATTGTCACTTGAACTGGTGCATGGCTCCTGCTGCTCTGCCTGCAGCTCTGGGGGCAGCGGGGGTGCACCAGGGTCCCCAGGCCCCGGGAGGGTGGCTGAGAAAACACTGCACTGTGAACTTCCCATCTCTGCAATTGGCAAATTCATTGAATGGAGAGACACAGCAGACACAAATGCGGCGGTGCTGTAATCTTCTTCTGGGTGATGTATCTGGGTAGATTCTTTGTCTTTTGTTTTATCCAGGAAATTTGATTCATCAGAAAATGATCTAGAAAGATTATTTGTTCCTCCATACAGTGAGGTCATACAGGTGCTGCAGCTTACACCTAGGACAAAAAACCAGATAGTGGATTTAATTACATGAGGACATCTTAAACTGTGCTGTGATTTAATATCAGTAAGACTGTCAAAAATCAACTGTCCATATTTTCAACAGATTAACCCTTCATCTCACCTGTGACATCCAGAATTCCTGACAAATTGGAAAACAAACATGCAGGTTATGTAGGCTGATATGAATGGTTTCTCTGTACTCAGTACCAGATAGTGCTTGACAAAAATGCACTACAACTTAAAGTTCATTTTAGAAAGTCACTTTAGCCCTTTGGTCCAACTTTTTTTAGATTTTTCTCACTGTGTTCTTCAAACTTCTAAGAGCTTCACCTGCTGGTTCTGCTCCAACATGGACAGCATTTAAGGCTATTTTACCTGAAGCCAGAGCAAACCTCAGGCCCTTCATCTCTGTGGTTAGACCATACTTCTTCCTTCTTTATTTGCCTTTTGATGGGTGTGGAAGGGGAAGTAACACTTTTGGTGTAGAAAGCCTATACTTTCTTTCTCTGCCCTAAACTATGAGTGCACACAGTCACTTCAAGGTTTGGGTGTCAACAAAACCTCTAAGCCTCTATGGAAAAACACACACATGTATTTACAGTGTCTCCTTAAAGCTGTGGCAGTGAAGGCATACAGGGGAACTCCCCTCAAGCTGCATTTGCTTGCACATCTGCTGAGACACAAAGTTTAACTAAACCAGAGCATCCTGCCCCTGCAGCAAACAGCTTGAAGAGAAATGCAAGATGGAACATAACCACCCATTTTTGAAAAGCAAAACTGAAATGTGGAGACAGATTCATCCATCATAACAATACAATAGGGGACTTTTTTGCTACTTGTTATTATGGTGGATGTTTCAGATAAAGCCAGGGTACATGCACTAGGATCTTAAACACAAACTGATAATATTTCCAAACATGTTGTTCCAAATACCAGAGGAAGATTTTAGTTTTGGATTTTAATTTTGCAGCCCCTCCAAATAAAACCTATGTCTTACACAACATTATTAAAAATTTGTTACCTTTAAGAGCTTCAAGCTTTTCATTTTTGACTTTCAGCACTACATCAGTTATCTTTTGTAACAGGAAGTTTTGTGTTCTTTCTCGCCTGATAGATTCAATCAGAGTATCTAGTCCCTTTGGATTTTCAGCTAAGTAGTCCAATAACTTCCCAGCTTTTTTCCTACTGGAAGATCGAGCAGAAATTTCCTCTGTGTCCTCCCTGGTGAGTATTTTCTTGGAGCGCAGGTAATCAAAGTGTCTCTCGGCTATGATCTTATCACACAGGTAAGGACGCATCCTTTCCAAAGCCTGAAAAGCAAAACAAACTGCTATGAGCCAACATTTCAAATTATTTAGAAG